TACAAGACAGAAACAAAAAACAGGATGGACAACTTCAAATTCATCAATATGTTTTTCATATGGAAAGAAAAAAGTGACTTGGCCATCATTCAAACCAATGACTGGCTTTCCCAAAGCTACTTACCACCTGTTTTTGAACTTCTGATGGCCGCACATATATGCCTGCAGTCACATAAATGCATTTGTGGCACTTGACAACTGGCTCACATTTAGAGCTGTTTTCAGCATCCCAATGTCACATGATTACAATATTTGCAGTGTTTTGGTTTATAGAATTTAGTTTCTAGCAAAAAAAAAAAAAGTCCTGGTTTCTAGCAAAAAAAAAATTGTAAAAATGACTCCCTTAACAGCTACAGTGTTTTCTTAATGAACAGCATTTGCTTAATAACTGCTACAAAAAAGGTTGTAAAATCAGGCATGGGCATGTGGTGACTGCTTACCAATCACCTCAACTTGTAACCGATTTCTGGGTCAATTAAGGTGATTGATCAAGGAATACCTGTAATGGGACCAAACTTTAAGATAGGCAAGCTTTGAGATAGGCAGATTCTGCTGAGAAAGAGTGATCTTGAAGAATAAGATATTATAAATGTGATCTACACATTAAAAAAAAAAAATTCACAAATAGTGTGTGTGTGTGTGTGTGTGTGTGTGTGTGTGTAAAGTTGTCATGTTACTATTTGATAAGACTATACCCATTTCTGCAGTAAAACGGAAAGTATTTCTAGAGACATGCTATCTATCTATCTTCTATAGTAGGTCTCTAGAAATACTATATATATAAGCTATTTGTTTTTCATAAAAAAAATTACAATCAGAGAAACCAACGTTTTTCATATCTAGACATGTTCATATCACTTTAAGGGCAGCAGAAGGGCTTTTCAGAAGGAAAATTTTTACATCTAAGACCCCTTAGGTACAACAAGGAAGACATATTTTCCAGGTATTGTATGTTTGAAGCTTTATTGACAACTCTTTTTGAAAGGTATGAAAACATAAATCATCTTATTTGAATATCACTTTCAAGATGGCTTGCTTTAGAAAGTTGATTCAAAATGAACCCTTAATGTCCTTCCCAGAGAAAAAGAGGAAAAGTTTTGGACATTGATTTCCAAACATAAAACAAGGAATACCAGACAATTTTAAAGCCATCAGAATTACTTTAGCCTTTTGATCTCAGATTTTCTAAAAAGATTTGGATTTATTGAAATTAGTGAGAAAACACAGGGTGAGCTTTTTAATTAATCTGAAACTCTCAAATCCATGAGTGCTGTTCTTACTTATTTCTTAATTACCCATCACAGCGAATATAGAACAAGCTGATATTTTGAAGACCCTTGGTCATACCCCTGAATATATCTGGATATAGTCAACATTTAGTCAGATTCAGATCCTATCAATGTATGCTTAGACTTGGTAGTAGAGTATATTAGTGACTGACCGAACACTGGTGAGGTCTTATATCAAGACCTACCTAGTGGCAATAAGAGTGGTGAAATCTAATTATTTTTCCACTCTTATTGCATCTGCAGAGAACCGCCCAGCTGCCCTGTTTAGGGTGACCCACTCCCTACTTCAGGTGGGAGCGAGGGAGGACCCCTTGCAGGGTAGAGCTGAGGATTTTGTGCAATATCTGCATGATAAAATCGCTCAGATTCGGGACGACCTGGACTCCGACTGGGTAGCTTCAGACAGGATGATGGGGATGAGTCTTGAGAGTGTTATCTGGGAAGAGTTTGACCCTGTGGTTCCTGAGGACGTGGACAGGATTTTGGGGAGGCTTAACGCTACCACATGTTTATTGGACCCATGTCCCTTCTGGTTGGTGCTGGCCTCCCGGGAGGTTACACGAGGCTGGTCTCAGGAGATTATTAACACTTTGTGGAGTGAGGGTATCTTCCCATCCGCCTTGAAAGAGGCGGTGGTGAGGTCCCTCCTCAAGAAGCTTTCCTTGGACCCGGCTATATTAGCTAATTACCGTCCTGTCTCCAACCTCTGCTTTGCGGTGAAGGTTGTTGAGAGTGTGGTGGCGCGACAACTTCCTCAATTCCTGATGAAGCTATCTAGATCCGTGCCAGTCGGGCTTCAGGACAGGTTACAGCACGGAAACGGCATTGATCGCATTGGTCGATGATCTTTGGAGGGCCCGGGACAGGGGTTGTTCCTCTGTCCTGGTCCTCCTGGACCTCTCAGCAGCTTTTGATACCATCGATCATGGTATCATGCTGCGTCAGCTGCAGGGGATGGGAGTGGAGGGCACCATGTTATGATGATTCTCCTCCTTCCTCTCTGACCGTAAGCAGTCTGTGTTGACGGGGGGACAGAGGTCGACCTCGAGGCTCCTCACTTGTGGGGTGCTGCAAGGGTCAGTCCTCTCGCCTCTCCTGTTCAACATTTATGTGAAGCCGCTGGGTGAGATCATCCGTGACTTTGGGGTGAAGTGTCAACTGTATGCCGATGACATGCAGTTGTACATTTCAACCCCAGGCCACCCCAATGATGCCCTTGATGTGATGTCCCAATGCCTGGAGGCTGTGCGGATCTGGATGGGGAGGAATAGGCTCAGACTCAACCCCTCCAAGACTGAGTGGCTGTGGTTTACGACGTCCCGATATAGCCAGCTAGAACCATCACTGGCTATTGGGGATGAGATCTTACCCCCCTCAGAGAGGGCTCGCAACTTGGGCGTCCTCCTGGACTCACGGCTGTCGTTGGATGATCATATGACGGCCGTAGCCAAGGGGGCTTTTTATCAGGTTCGCCTGATCTCCTAGTTGTGTCCCTTTCTGGATCGGGATGCCTTGCGCACAGTCACCCACGCCCTCGTCACTTCCCGTCTGGACTATTGCAATGCTCTCTACATGGGGCTCCCCTTGAGAAGCACCCAGAGGCTCCAACTGGTCCAGAATGCAGCCGCGCGAGTGATAATGGGGGCGACCCGTCGCTCCCATGTAACACCTCTCTTGCGCGAGCTGCATTGGCTCCTGGTGGTCTTCCGGATGCGTTTCAAGGTGTTGGTTACCATCTTTAAAGTGCTCCATGGCTTAGGGCCTGGATATTTACACGACCGCCTGTTACCACTGACTGCCTCCCACCGACCAATACGCTCCCACAGAGAAGGCCTCAGGGTGCTGTCGGCCAAACAATGTCGACTGGCGACTCCCAGGGAGGGGTAGAGCCTTCTCTGTGGGGGCTCCTGCCCTATGGAACGAATTGCCCCCAGATATACAAAGGATCCCCGACCTCCGTGCCTTCCGTCGTGCGCTGAAGACCCTTGTTATTCCAGCAAGCCGGTCTGATGAGACAATAATTTTAATCGGGTTTAAATATGGGTTTTTAATATGGTTTTATAAGGGTTTTAGAATGTGGATTTTAAATTCAGCCAAAATTGAATTATTTTATTATGGTTTTTAAATTTGTCTTGTATATTGTTTTATTATGGCTGTTCACCGCCCTGAGTCCTTCGGGAGAAGGGCCGTATAAAAATATAATAAAATCAAAATCAAATCAAATCAAATCATGCATTTAGAGCAGAGGATAAGTTTTAAAAGATAGTGTTGTAATTGAAAAATGTGCATTGGAAGATAAACTGGGTTTTATAATATATGTCTGAAGATGATAATATACTATAGTGAAGGTGATTTAATCTGGATTTAACTAGTAAACATTTTGGGTTTCTGAAAAGAAATTGCTTTTCAGAATTACTCAATAGAGGAGCAATTCTGGTAGCTGTAACCACTTTGAGTAAGACATTGTTACTTTAAACACTTCATCTTGACAATTCTTGATGGACTTCTATATAACTGTAGGCCTTTTCAAAAAAGAAGGAAAAAAAGGAAAGGAAAAAGGGAAGGGAAGGAAATGTTTGAATTGCTTTTCTGTGGTTAGTTTCTCCTCAACCTTTGGCATTCAGTTGTAGAAATGTAATTTTCAAAATTTTAGAATCTATTTTATATATTAATATATATGAGCACTAAAATTGCATGGTTGAGATTCTATTCCTTAGATATGGGAACTAGTTGACTGTCTGTCTGTGGGCCACATTCTGTCAGCCCTAGATTAAAAAATTAACAAACCTCCCTCTCTGCCAAATTGCACCAGATTATTGTGGCATATATTGCAGCCCACAACTGTCAATAAAAATGACTTTATCATGAAGTAGATTGATTTGGCTAATCACCATCTTTGCCATTCTCATCATCTCTACAAGAACTGAAATTCTAGGCCACAGTTATAGATTCTATCAGTAATTCGTTACAGAATTTCTTGCCCTGTGTTGTTTTTGAAATGTATTGTTTTTTAAAATGTAATTTAATTAAAGATTTTTAAATAGAAAATTTAAAAAAACTAATAGTAATCTGATCAAGTGAAGCATTAGTATCACTGTATACTGTTTAGTAATACTCCACTTAGAATACTGCATCCAATTTTGGTTACTGCAATACAAAAAACATTGCGATTCTAGAAAGAGTGAAGAAAAGAGCAACAAAGATTATTAGAGGGCTAAACATATGATGAACGGTTGCAGGAACTGGAAATGTCTAGTCTAATGAAGAGAAAGATTAGGGATGAGACAATAGGCTTCCAATATATGAGGGACTCACAAAGAAGAGGGGGTCAACCTATTCTCCAAAGCATTTGAGGGCAAGACAAAAAGTAACAAACGGAAATTTATTTATTCTTTATTTATTTATATACTACTTACATCTATCTATCTATCTATCTGTCTGTCTATCTATCTATCTATCTATCTATCTATCTATCTATCTATCTAACAAATAACTAAAGGCAGTGAACATATCCAACACATCTCTCTCCTCCTATTTTCTCCACAACAACAGGTGAGGTTGTTGTGAGCTGAGTTGGACTAAGAGAATGGACCAAGATCACTCAACTGGTTTTCATGGTGAAGGCAGGACTTGAAGACAGCAATGAATTAGGCAATATGATGCCAAACAACAAAAGCTTCATTGTTCACTTTTTCCCTGTGTTTTCTTTAGGAAATGTCCAACTTTCACATACTTATAAAGAAGACACTGTAGAAGAAACCAACCCTTTTAGCAGTTGTTCTATGCCAGAATGCAATATAGATGATTCAAAAATTATTAATTTACCCCCTGTTATTGTACCACTGGCTTTTCAAAATGATGGCATAAATTCAACAGACAAATCCATTGATGTAGAGAAGACCTCGGCTGAAATAGATTCCGTGTTGGTTGCAAAAGAATGTTCTGTAAATAATGCTTCCTTTAAAAATAATAAATCTGAGAATATTAAACAAAGGTAAGTTACATTTTTGAGATGATATGTAAGTTTATTATTTTGGCATAGCTGGCTGTAAAGGAAACAAGTAGCTTATAAATTTTGTCAGGGGCCTAAACATACAATTAATCACACCCAGACTTTACTGCAGCTAGTTCTTTTGCAAAAGTTCTTTTGTTTTATTTTTTAAAATAGACTCTGTTTGTGTTTAAAAAAAAAAAAAGTAAATCAAGATTGAGATCTATGGACTATTAATCAAGCACTAAATCCAAAGGAGAAAAAGGCAACAAACTCAGAGAAAAATCTAAGATCTAAAGCAAGAGCTGACCACTGACTTTTCCAGCTACTCAGCCCTTTAGCTGGCTTTTGATCTATCTGCAGACTTGCAAAATTTTGCTTTGCATTCTATTTCCGTTGTTGAGTTCCTAATCCAAATAAGAAACCCAAGCTCTGTGTCTCATCCTCTGACTCCTCCCCACCCTCTCACTTAGTACATGATAATAACAATTAATAATGGCTCTTTGTGCTCCTAGAGTCTAGACTATGCTCCAACCCTATACAAATTTGAGGAATTCAGGACACATTGTTTTACTTGCTTGAGTTGGGGCAAACAGTTCTAATCCACTCTATTTTCTGTTATCAAGGGAAATATAATTTTTAATATTTTAATGTTTTTTATTGTTACATGTAATTTTAAAGCAATTTGGTTCTGTGGGGTTTAATTAAAATATAGGCCATCAAGTCAGTGTTGAATCTTAGTCACCACATAAATAGACTTCCTCCAGCATGGTGTATCCCCAACCTTCAGGTCTCCCAATGATATGTACTGTAATTTGCATCATCCACCTTGCATCTTGTTGTCCTCTTCTTCTCTTTCCTTCCATTTGTCCTAGAATTGTAACCTACATCAGAGAGCTAAGTCTTCTCATAATGTGTATGTAACATGTTAATTTGAGTATGGTCATTTGTACCTGTTATGAAAACTCTGAATTGATTTGTTTGATGATCTGTTTGTTTTCTTGGGTATCCATGGTATTCTCAAGAGTTTTCTCCAACTTCGAAAGCATCACTACTCTTTCTGTCCTATTCTTTGCTTCTGCAGAGTCCAGTTTTCACTTCCAAAAAGTGTTACAGGGAAAATCATTGCCTACATGATTCTGATCTTTACAGGTATAACATGTCGTGTCTTTCAATGCTTTCATAGCTACATTATCAAGTTGATTGCTGATTCCTTTACTGTTGAAAGTTTATCCTATAAGGCTGAAGCTACCCAACATTTCAGTACTTTCATTGACAGTTTTAAGGCTCCTTACTATATCTACTACCATTTTAATCTTTAATTCCATTTTCTTACTGTGTTCTTTGACTTTCCTTACAAGAGCTTGTAGATCATTTGCATTCTCAGCTGTCAGAATAGTGTCCTAAGTATAGCTCAGGTCATCAATGTTTCTTCCCCCAGTTTTAAAACCACACATTTCTTTCAATCCAGCCTCCCTTAATTTATATTCAATGCATAGTCTGAGTAATTAGGAGACTGTACACATCCTTGTTTCACTCCTGCCAATCTGCAGTCACTCCAGACTCTGGCTTCCTATTCTGTATATATAGGATTTGTATGAGGACAGTGAAATATTCTGGATTCTTATTTTCCTCAGGAGATTCCATAATTTGACATGGTTGAAATAATTGAAGGCCTTTCTATAATCAGTACAATGCATATTGACTTCTTTTGGCCTACTTTGACTTTCCTGTTCCTTGGCCTGCTTCAACCAGATTCACCCAAATTATAGTATTAATATGATTAGCCCTGTTAGAAATCAGCAATTAACTAGTTGTCTTCATAATACAGGGCTGATGGCAGAATGATGGAAGCCAAAACTGAGAATACTGATATGTTTATGGTTGCTGGTATACAAAAATTTCAACTTGCACTAGACGAAAGCCTAGCAGGTAGGTGGAAGTTGATCTGCAAACATAATAGAAAGCAGGAGAAAATAATAGCAGAGAATGTACTAGAAAGGTTTAAAAGATTTCTGTAAATCTCGAAATTGGAGAAAGTAGTAATGGTAATATAATTGCCTATCATAACCTAGTAGCTTTATTGGATATTATGCCAGTGAAAATGTTCCACTTCCATGATTAGCCTTATTTTTCTCTTTCTAGATGAAAGCCTTTTACTATAGTTACATTCAGTGATGTATTGAACCTGGCTCACTCTAGCTTGTGAGAATTATAGTTAAATTTCTACGAACTTTAAGAACAAAGGTGAACATTAATGCCTAACATGCCGATCTGTTGTTCCATGGCTAAGGGCTAGCAATGGAGCCAACAGAGCCAGTTCTTAAAAATAGTATACCACTATTACAAAAAAAGCAATATACCACTGATTATTATATTTGTAGGCATAGAGCAAGAGAATAAATTTCTAAATAGTATTATTTAGATACAGTGATGGAAGACTGAATATTCCATCACAAAAGAAACATAATAGCATTAAAAAGTCAAACTGTGCTACTGTCACACAAGACAATAGACTTTTCTATAATTTTTACTCGTACTGTGCTACTGTACGAGTAAAAATTATAGAAAAGTCTATTGTCTTGTGTGGTAGACAAACACACAAACACACACACACATGTATCTACACACATATACATACACACATATACATACATACACATACATATATACCAGGGGTGGGTTCTACTTACCTTTACTACTGGTTCACAATGGGAGTGCGCTTGCGTGTGCGCATGCTTCTACGCATCCACAGAAACTTCTGCACATGCGCAGATTGTCAATTATGACATCCAGGTGGGTGGGCGGAGCCTCCCACCACTTTTACTACCGGTTCACAAGAACTGGACAGAACCGGGAGCAACCCACCACTGATATATACATATAGATCTACACACACACACACACACACACTGCTTTCTTGAGAACTATATTCTGTGATTTTGGAGTCTTGCCCAGAAATAACCTTGTAGAAATAAGCTCTGTTGATAATACTTTCCTTTATTACATGCAAATGGTTGACTAAATGCAGAATTTCTTTATATTTTAGCACAATACAGATTCAGATTGTTTGTGTTGTGTTAGTTACGTTGTGTTCAATTATTTTTCAAACAGTAACCTTTTTTGTGATATATAAAACAATTTCTGTAGTAAAAAAAGAAAGTTTGCAGAATGGGAACTGCTGCTGCTGCTGAGAAAATATTAAATATAGGTCTTTTAGGATTCCTTGAGATACTTTTGATTATAAAACTTTGCAAAATGCTGCAGTTTCATTGTTTTTGAAATAATTTGTTGACAATATTTACAGTGACGGAAAATATACGTAATGATTCCAAAAGCCAGTCGGTTATCTTTGAGATGAAAGATGCATCCAGCCCACTGCTACAAAAAGCTAAGAATCCTTCTGATGTTTCATCTCCTGTGCCAGTGACAATTATTGATGAAGTTCCAGAAAATTATACTATTGCTCACTCCAATACAGAAGAAGAAACTAGTGAAAATATTCCAGTTAAATTGGCTGATCTAGTTAAATTTTTTGACAGAAATATAAATATTGAATCTGTCAGTAAGGAATGTGTACGAACATCTTCCTATTCACCTAAGAATTTGTTACAAAAATTTTCTACAGAAAATACTTATGAAAATATCAGTGATGAACTTAATAAATCTCATCTAGAATTGAAAGGTGCATCAGTAAAAAACCCTGATGAAGAAGAATCAACACAATTTCCATGGCGTGGTAATATCAATAGAAGTAAAATCTATCGCTCCAAAACTGGCCTGACAACTTTTACAGTAGTTCCTCCCAAACCCAAAATAAGAGATTTTAACAGAAATCAGTCCCTTTACACAGATGCTATTCAGTTAGATGAGCTGGGTAACCTAGTGAAACTAAATAATGGTTGTGCTAGAAAAATTATAGTAGATGGAACCTCTAAAGTAACTGGTTTTGACAGAGGTAAAGAATATAAGAGGTCAAATTCTATAGAAAAGCAAACTGAAGGATTATCATTAGACCATTCTGTTGACGCAGACAACTCCTTTAATTCCAAACAACCTAATAAAATGTTCAGTACTAAACCTGATTGTATTAAGAGTCTGAAAACAGAAACTTGGCCAATAGTTACTGCCAGTAATGAAAATATTGTTGGACCAGATGAAATAAAAGTCCTTAGTAATACTTCACAGTTTTCAGGGAAAACTATTTTAGCATGTGCGATCAGTAGAAAAGATTTCATGTTTCAGATGCCCTCAAAACAATCATCAAATGATCATTTAACCACAACTGTTGCCAATTCCAATGATATAACCCAGTTTGAAATCATTCAAGAAAAGCAGTATGAAGAGCTAAATAAAACAGAAGGAATGAAAACTGAAATAGAGCCAATTTCCAAAGGATGTACTATTGCAGCCAAATATTGCCCAGTGGAAACAGAGCCAGCAAAAACAAAAGAACTGTATTCAACTACCTTCAGTTGTAGTAAAAATGTGTCAAATGCCATTTCACCTTGTGCTGATCCTAGGATATCAAATATCAAGGCACTAAAACATAACAAATCTAATACTATTCGTGGGACAGTTACTACATTAACATCTAACAAAAACAAACTCTCGGAACAGGAACTTGTCTATAATTTACTACAAGATGTAACAGATAGAGAAATGACTCTTGCAGTAATAAAAAAGCCATCTGATCAGGTTAGCTCTCCCTTTTTTCTTAGCAAACCTAATGCTGATTCATCTGCCACAATATTTAGCTCCCACGTGAAATCAAGCGATATACCATCAACAGCAATGGTTAACCAAATAACAGAAAAATATGAGAATCTTGGTAAGGCAGAAAGTAAACTCTGTCCTAATAGACTAGAAGACAACATCTACGATATTTTTGGGCCAAAGAAGAAATTTAAGTCAGTCATCCAGAAGCCACCTCCAAATGATACATCACTACATAGTGCTTTAATGGAAGCCATTCAAAACTCAGGAGGAAAAGACAAGCTTCGAAAGGTAAATATTTGTTGGGTAAAAGCAGCTTTGGATGAAGCACCATTTCCTGTAAGATCAGTGTTTGTTGTTGTTTTTACCAAAGTTATAACTAACTTTTATTTCCAGTAACTTATTAAGCTAATATAACACTATAAAACTTGCATATTACCAATATACAGTATTACAGTACCATCAGTTCTATACGTGCTATTTGGTATTATGCAACAGCCATAACATCTTCATATATTTAACATTTGGTGCTATGATTATAGATAGTATAACCGACTAATCCTGTCCTAAAGAGGTAATAATTATCATGCAGTGTATGCAAAAATTCATATGTATATTAGTTTTATAGTATTATAGTATTTTGCAAATCTGCTTTTATATATAGCTCACTATATATTCAGGTCAGATAAAGGCCAAAATTAGGCAAGTTTTTTAAAAAATAATCAGATGCTCATATTATTCATGCTTCCAAATTTTAAGTTTTAAAAAATAAATGTATGTGTTTTGTCATATGTCAGATTTCATGTAGTACTATAAGAGGAAGTCCAAAAGAGTCAAAGTGCATGGAAACGGAGACTGGGCATTCAGCTCTTTTGGCAGCTATTAGAGGGCACAGTGGACTCTCAACATTAAGAAAGGTAATTCTAATTGCACTGCATTATATTTGTCATTTAACAAAGATGTAATTAAAAATTGTCATGATAAATGCCTAACTACTATGTCTCCCTGATCACCCGGACCTTCAAGGGTTAACTAACCACATATCCCATAATCCTTATAACCACTCCTTACCTCTTAGCCCCTCCTCCTGGGTACAAAAGGTCCAACCACATGGTCCACAGGAGATTCCAGATGTATACCTGAAAGAGAAAGGTACAAGGTCAGTGACCTCCAGTACCAATAGATCAATAATAAAACTACAGAAAAGAATTGGAGTCTGTCTCTGAGTTATTGGGCTAGATCCAGCTTATAACAAAATGGTAGCAGAGGATGGTTGCCCATAACTCCAGACAATGACTGAACCCAACACCTACCCTGAAGAAGCAAACAGAGCACAGACCAGAGCTCTTACCAAGAAGATGGCTGAGAAGCTTGCAACCAAAGCCACAGCCATGGAGGAGACAGAAGCTGGAAGCGAGCAGGACTCCAGCCTGGACTCACAATCAGATGAAGAGGGGCCATCCAAGGAGATCACCGCCCCGGAAGAAGAAACAGCACAGAAAATGAATAAATTCAAACTCTCCATCCTGAAACTGATGGAGGCAAGCAGCGACAAAGAAAACCTCATCGCGAATATTCAAAGTCTCTTCGAGCAACAAGAAACAGCGATTGAGCCCCCAAAGACCACCGAGAAAGAAAAGCCAGCAAAAAAGGGTAAGCCACCCCAACCTGATGATCCTGAGCCGGCAGAACCCATTTCCGCGCCCCCTTCCCGGCGGCCATCTTGGGACGAGCATCAGCCAATGGGAAGCCAGGATTTGAATCCCTTGGCGCGAAAATGCCCGAACCCCGAAACAGACGAGGGGGACTCAGAAAGCGACTACGAAGAGCCCAGCTCTGAAAGCGACCACGAAGAGACCACAATAATAAAAAGAAAAACGCCTACCGATCTCGAATTGCAAAAGGCAATCGAGACCATCACTGCTGCCCTAGGCTCCGCTTTCGAGCCTCCCGCGGCACTCAATAAACCAAAGAAAAATCCTGGAAAGCACAAGAAGGCCAGGACAACCAACAAAGACCAGGCAACCGAGTCACAACCAACTAAAAACACCGCACACACCAACAACCGGCACAAGAGACTGCCCACCTGCAGGAAGAATCAACTGCAGAACTCGAACTCACCACCCGCTACACCGACAACCCGAGGCCCGAGGGAGAAGAGAAGAACCGGCGACTCACCCACGCCACGACATCCATCAGGCCAGTCCACGCGACCAGGGACCAGCGACCATGAGGGAGGATCCGCCGCCGCCGCCATTACCGCTGAGCCGCTGAGTGCAGGGAATCCTCAACCTACGACCTCCGCTGCTGCCGCGCCGCCGACCCGCGAAAGTCCTCGACTTGCGACCGCGTCGCCTCCTCACCTTCTGCCCTTCTTCGCCGGGGATCCGGCCATCCAGCAGTGGTGTCCAGCCTCAGGGGGAATCTTCGGACCCACTGGGGGCGGGTCCAGCCTCCCACCGACAGGCCTAGGCCTAAGCCTGGGAGCTCCAGCAACAGGAACCTCACCCGATGGACTCCAACGCGGAATGAGCTTCGCGCATGCCCAGTACCTGCCTGTAACAAGAGAAGCAAGTTACATAGATCCAAGCAAGTACAGAATGGCCACAGACATCCCAAAGCCTTATTGTGAGTTTAATCACATTTTGGACCATGGACAGCTCCCCCCAGTAAGTAACCTTACTAATATTTCTGGGGCAAATTATACCAATTTGCCAAAATTGCAGTTAGATGGGGGTAATATTATAGAATGGAGCCAGCAATTAAGAGTTGCTCTCATGAGAGAGAATGCACTGTTCCTAGCTAACAGACCTCCCCAAAAGCCCTGGTCACTGGAAATTGACTGCATTCATCACAGGGCATTTTGTATCATGTTAACCTCCATTCCATCTGCTATGTATCCATCTATTGAGGACAATCTAACTGTTTATGATATTATGCAAAAACTATGTAACCTGTTTTATAGCCAAAGCAGAGCCACTACCACTAGACTATCTAGGGAGTTCCACTCCACCAAGCATAAGGCAGGGGTCCCCATGAGTGAGCACATCTTAAAAATGAATGCTGCAAGGGCAGAACTCATGCAGAGGGGGGAAATCATCACTGAAGAGAGCATGATAAGCATAATCATAAACTCTCTTGATAGCAGCTGGGACATCTTCATGACCCAACTAAATAGCCTCAACTTGCAATACCTCACACTAGGCGCACTGACCAGTCAGCTCGTTGCAGAGGACACTCTGAGGAGGGAACGCCAACTAGCCAAAGGGGACCCTAGACCCACAAAGAGGGTGGATTTCCAGGATAGGGCCAGGGATACCTCAGAATGTTATTCTTGTGGATCAAGGAACCACTTAAAGAAGGATTGCCCCAGGAACCATAGGGATAGGGGACAGCATGACAGTAGAGGGGGAAGGTCACCTGAACTCAGGCACCCAAAGGAAAGAGGGCGAGGGTGGTCACCCAACCCCAGGAAACACCACGAGCGCAGAGACCACTCCAGGGACAGTAACTCTGGCTCCATGTATGGGATCAGGCACGATGACCCAAATGACAAACATAGGGCAGAGAGAAACACATGGCTCCTGGACTCAGGGGCCACAAGCCACACTACTTGTAACCCAGAGCTGCTAGACTCACTCACCGAAATAGACTCAGAAATAAAGGTGGTAAACCAAAGCAAGGTCAAAGTACTGGGGAAAGGAAACGTACACATCACACAGGTAGGGGACCTAAAAGGAGTACTGTACGTACCAGAAATTCCCCACAACGTGCTAGCCATCACAAAGCTGACACGAGACACAAATATAGAAATAAAATTTAAAGATGGAAAGGCACACTTGATCAAGCAAGGGAAAGAGATAGGAAAGGTAACCATACACGAGGGGCTTCCCTACTTCACATCCAACGCAAGGGAGGAAGAAGGCATTGATGTCAGCACAAACCACAAGGTAGATAAGTATCCAGAAACAGAGGGGGTGCAGCAGGAGGCAGGATGTAGCCATGAGAAGACAAACAAGTCTGTATGTATCGGCAAGCCATTGCATGATAACTGCGCCCACCTCCTCCACAGGAGACTGGGACACATAAGCTTCCCCATTGTAAAGAAAATGACGGAATGTACCGAAGGTCTCAAAGTAAAGAACTGCGAAAACTACTTAGAGTGTTCAGTTTGTAAGCGTTCTAAGATCAAGGTTAAGGCCATCCCCAGGGGATCCAAACGAACCACGGAATACCCCTTCCAATTGGTGCATATGGACTTGGTAGGCCCAATGAAACCCTCTGTAGGACATAGGAAGCGATTCTTCCTCACGATTGTGGATGACTACACCAGATACGGATATGTCTACTCCCTCAGACACAAAAACGAAGTGTTCCAAAGGTTTAAGGAATTCCACAGAAGAATAGATATGCAACATAACATGAGAATAAGGCAGATAATGACTGATAGGGGCTCAGAATTCATGGCCAAAGAATTCACAAGGTGGCTGAGGGAGCAGGGCATAGCGCATTACACCTCTTCACCTTTCTCCCCCTTTCAAAATGGAGTCTCAGAGAGAAAAAACGGGGTGTTGCAAACCATGATGAGATGCGCCCTGGAGGATGCTGGGATGGGGCAGCATTTCTGGTCAGAGGCATTACACTACGCTAATTACACCCTGAATAGACTGTGGTCAAGCTCTATCAATAAGACACCATACGAGATGCTATACAACAGAAAGCCCAACATTGCACACTTACACATATTCGGCGCCCCAGCTGATGTCCACATTCCCAGACAGCTAAGAAAAAAAGGGGAGAAATTATCAAAAAGATTGAGGTTCGTGGGTTATGAACCGGGCACAAAGGGCTACAGATTTGTCGACAACAATAACCGTTTTGTGGTTTCCAGATCAGCCAGTTTCCACGAAAACGCAAACTGGTCGAGGGTACACTCCAATGACATCCCAGCCAATAGGGTCACGTTCGAGCATGGCCAAGGGGAAAGGGAGGTCAGAGAGGTCACAGGGCACAAAGCCAACCATCGCAAGGCAAGCGTCAAAGGTTGGAAAGAAGGGCACCCTTCACTGAAGATAGATGACCTGATGGACAAAGAGGCAGACATCATGCAGGAAACCGAGCCAACCCCCAGCAGGCCAATCAGAGAAACCAGAAACAAGCTACCAAAGAAGTTAGAGGACTACGTTATGACCATCCACAACACCCATTTCACGCCCAGCTCATATGAAGACATCCTCGGGCTCCCCCGGGAAGAGAAAGAAAAATGGATGCTTGCCATGGAGAAGGAGATGGAAAGCCTAAGGAACCTCCAGGTATACTCACCTGCCCAAGTTCCAGAGGACAAAAAACCAATAGGAACCAAATGGGTGTTCAGGGTTAAGACATTAGAGGACAACAAGGTCCTATACAAGGCAAGACTAGTCGCGCAGGGTTTCGCCCAAAGATACCCCGAAGACTATACGGACACCTACTCGCCAACCGTCAGGGCGGAGAGCGTCAAAAGCGCCCTGGTGGTGGCCACCATCCTGGGCTTGGAGGTCTTCCAATTCGACGTACAAACAGCGTACTTGCACGCCGAGCTGGATAAAGAAATATACGTCAAAGCGCCGCCTGGGTACAACAAAGGCGAGAACCAAACCTGGCTGCTGAATAAAAGCCTGTACGGGCTCAAGCAGTCGGGCAAAAGGTGGTATGACTGCTTGGCCAAGGCCCTCAGATCCATGGGCTTCGAGGCCACCTCAGCTGATAAATGCTTTTTTACGAGGAGAGAAAACAACACATTCGAAGGTGTGCTCGTTTACGTGGACGACATCTTGTACATCAGCAAACACAAGAACAGGTGTGACAAGTTCGCCACTGACCTGGGTAGCCACTTCTCCTTAAAGTCACTTGGAAAGATTGACAGATACCTAGGGGT